GGTTCAATAAATAATGTGGTTTTATTTTCTGTATCAATATTCACAGTCGTATTTTCCTCAACAATTTCATTCGAAGAATTATCCTCGTACGGAGGTTCTTGGAAGACAATTCTATCTACATGGTTTTGATCGCCCATCATTTCTGTCGAAGATTTAGTAGATGATGTTATTTCGGTTTCAACTATCTTATCCTCAACTACTTTTGGTTTATCTATAGATTCAATTGATGATTCAATTGGTAATACAATTTCAGTAGTTTCTTTTATAACTTCTAATTCTTCCACCAAATCAGAAGTTGTTTTAGTTATTAATAATGTTTTTTTTTCTGTATCAATGTTCATGTCAATTTTTTCATCATCTACTTTATTTGAAGAATTAATTGGTATTACATTTCTTTCATCATGCCCTTCTACTACATCTATTTTTGAGTGTACTATGACAATAGAAGAATCAGTACACGATATTTCGGTTTCTGTTATATCTTCTGCCATCATTGGTTCTGCTATTGATCCAATGATTGATTCAAATGGTAAAGGTGTGACGTTTTCAATATCAACTTTTACATTCTTTTTATCCCTCGCTACTTCATCAGAACAATTAATTGGAGCTGGTGATTCTTCTTCAATACAATTTTCATATTTTGTTTGAGCGTCTACAGTTACAGTGGAAAAATCATTACATGATTTTTCGATTTCTGTTTTATCGTCTACCACTACTGATTCTACTATGAATTCAATTACTGATTCAATATTCAAAGGAGTTTCATTTTCTGTATGAATGTTCAATTTCTGGTTTTTCTCCAATAATTCGCCTGAAGAATAATTTGGTACCATATGTTTCTTTTTGATACTTTTTTCACCTACAGAAATTTGTGAAGAATATTCTTTACCAATAACTTTTTCAACATCAATCACTATGTTGGAAGAATCAGTAAATGATAATGTTTCTTTTTCAGTTCTATATTCATCTATTTCTGGTTCTGCTATTGGTTCGATAAATGAAGGGGTTTTATTTTCTGTCTCATTATTCACAGTCATATTTTCCTCGACTATTTCATTCGAAGAATTACCCTCGTACGGAGGTTCTTTTAAGACAGTTATATCTACATGATTTTGATTGCCATTCATTTCCGTTGAAGATTCGGTACATGATTTTATTTCAGTTTCAACTATCTTATCCTCTACTACTCTTGGTTCCTTTATAGATTCTATTGATGATTCAATTGGTAACAATGTTTCTTTTTCTGTACCAATGTTCATATTAGTGTTTTCACCCACCAATTCATCTGAAGAATTAATTGATACAGGTGATTCTTCTTCAGTATACTTTTCTTTCTTGGATTGAGCTTCTATAGTTGCAGTGGAAGAATCATTAAATGATAATGTTTCTTTTTCAGTTCTATCTTCATCCATTTCTGGCTCTACTATTGGTTCAATAAATAATGTGGTTTTATTTTCTGTATCAATATTCACAGTCGTATTTTCCTCAACAATTTCATTCGAAGAATTATCCTCGTACGGAGGTTCTTGGAAGACAATTCTATCTACATGATTTTGATTGCCATTCATTTCCGTTGAAGATTTGGTAGATGATGTTATTTCGGTTTCAACTATCTTATGCTCTACTACTTTTATCTCATCTATAGATTCTATTGATGATTTAATTGGTAACAATGTTTCTTTTTCTGTATCAATGTTCATATTAGTGTTTTCACCCACCAATTCATCTGAAGAATTAATTGATACAGGTGATTCTTCTTCAGTATACTTTTCTTTCTTGGATTGAGCTTCTATAGTTGCAGTGGAAGAATCATTAAATGATAATGTTTCTTTTTCAGTTCTATCTTCATCCATTTCTGGCTCTACTATTGGTTCAATAAATAATGTGGTTTTATTTTCTGTATCAATATTCACAGTCGTATTTTCCTCAACAATTTCATTCGAAGAATTATCCTCGTACGGAGGTTCTTGGAAGACAATTCTATCTACATGATTTTGATTGCCATTCATTTCCGTTGAAGATTTGGTAGATGATGTTATTTCGGTTTCAACTATCTTATGCTCTACTACTTTTATCTCATCTATAGATTCTATTGATGATTTAATTGGTAACAATGTTTCTTTTTCTGTATCAATGTTCATATTAGTGTTTTCACCCACCAATTCATCTGAAGAATTAATTGATACAGGTGATTCTTCTTCAGTATACTTTTCTTTCTTGGATTGAGCTTCTATAGTTGCAGTGGAAGAATCATTAAATGATAATGTTTCTTTTTCAGTTCTATCTTCATCCATTTCTGGCTCTACTATTGGTTCAATAAATAATGTGGTTTTATTTTCTGTATCAATATTCACAGTCGTATTTTCCTCAACAATTTCATTCGAAGAATTATCCTCGTACGGAGGTTCTTGGAAGACAATTCTATCTACATGATTTTGATTGCCATTCATTTCCGTTGAAGATTTGGTAGATGATGTTATTTCGGTTTCAACTATCTTATGCTCTACTACTTTTATCTCATCTATAGATTCTATTGATGATTTAATTGGTAACAATGTTTCTTTTTCTGTATCAATGTTCATATTAGTGTTTTCACCCACCAATTCATCTGAAGAATTAATTGATACAGGTGATTCTTCTTCAATATACTTTTCTTTCTTCGATTGAGCTTCTATAGTTGCAGTGGAAGAATCATTAAATGATAATGTTTCTTTTTCAGTTCTATCTTCATCCATTTCTGGCTCTACTATTGGTTCAATAAATAATGTGGTTTTATTTTCTGTATCAATATTCACAGTCGTATTTTCCTCAACAATTACATTCGAAGAATTATCCTCGTACGGAGGTTCTAGGAAGACAATTCTATCTACATGGTTTTGATCGCCCATCATTTCTGTCGAAGATTTAGTAGATGATGTTATTTCGGTTTCAACTATCTTATCCTCAACTACTTTTGGTTTATCTATAGATTCAATTGATGATTCAATTGGTAATACAATTTCAGTAGTTTCTTTTATAACTTCTAATTCTTCCACCAAATCAGAAGTTGTTTTAGTTATTAATAATGTTTCTTTTTCTGTGTCAATGTTCATGTCAATTTTTTCACCATCTACTTTATTTGAAGAATTAATTGGTATTACATTTCTTTCATCATGCTCTTCTACTACATCTATTTTAGGGTGTACTATAACAATTGAAGAATCATTACACGATACTTCGGTTTCTGTCATCTCTTCTGCCATGGTTGGTTCTGTTATAGATTCAATGAATGATACAATTGGTAAAGGTGTTGCATTATCAATATCAATATTTACATTTTTGTTTTCTCCCTGAACTTCATCTGAAGAATTGTTTTCTGCCGGAGATTTTTGGTTGACAATTAGGTCTGCGCGATTTTGATCGTCAATTATTTCCATTGAAGATTCGGTACATGATGTGATTTTAGTTTCAGTTAGATCTTTTTCTTCTTTTGGTTCCTCTATTGATTGCATAGTTGATTTAATTGGCAATGTAATTTCAGTTGTTCCTTCTTTTACTTTCAATTCTTTTATCAAAGGAGTAGATGTTTTAATTGGTAAAAATGTTTGTTTTTCTGTATCAATGTTCTCATTCGTATTTTTTGCAATTGCTTTATCTGAATAATTAACTGTTGCTGCAGGAGGTTCTTCGATATTTTTTTCATCAATGGAATCTTTTGGTTCTTCCCCAATAACTTTATCTTCTTCTGTTTGAACGTTTAAGATCACGTTGGCAGAATCAGTATTTATCACTGCTGTTACATTTATATCTTTTAAAGATTTCTCTATTGATTCTACGTTTGATTCCATATTTGATAATTTTTCTATAAGTTCATCCATAACTCTATTTTGATTCACAGGTCCGGGTGATGTATCAATTGGTAATAATTTTTCATTTCCTGTATCAATATTATCTTTTGTGTTTTCTCCCACTACTCCATCTGAAGAATCAATTGGTTCTGGTGATTCTTCTACGGTTACAGTGGAATAATTGGTGCATGATGTTTTTTCTGTTTCGTTTATATCTTCTATTTCTTTTGATACATCTAAATATTCTATAGTAGATTGAATGGGTAATGTTATGATAAGTTTATTTATTCCTTCCATTTCTTCTGTAGAATTAGTGGATGTAACAGTTGGTAAATGTTTTTGATTTTCTCTACTAAAGTTCACTTTGGGTTTTTCCACGATTACTCCTTTTATAGAATTAATTTGTAGTAGAACCTCCGGTTCTTTTTCAATAATTTTATCTGCATTTTTTTGATCGATTGATATTTGAGTTTTTGTTTCTGTAGTTTTTATTTTATCATCTACCTTTGCGTAGTATGTACTTGATTCATGGGTTTTTATATTAACTTGTTCGTCCATAACCACTGTCAAAGAATTCATTGTTGTGGGTATTTCTCTTGCAGTTACAATGTTTTCTTCTATTTGATCATGTACAACAATGGCTAATGTTTCAACTGGTTTTTTATTCATTCTGGTTACAAATTCTACCACAATTTTTCGGACTAAAGATGCCGTAGGGGTTACAATAAAGCCAGGAGTTTCTGCTTTAGTATCAATAAGCATCTCATCCGGTTCATTTGGAGCATCAATTAGTGGTCTACATTCTATTTCTGTATGGTTTTTTATAGGTTTTTCTTCTATTTCTCCAGCCGTAGAACTAATTTGTCTTGTGGTTTCATTTTTGTTATTATTATGATTAATTTCGTTTACTATTGATTCTGTAGTTGTCACGTTATGTTTTGAATCGAATGTTTTATGTAAGGTATTTTTTTCGGTTTTTGATTCCAGTGTAGTTTGAACTGATGTATCGTTTGTGAATGGAGGAACCGAATTCATTTTTAGAGGTTCATTAAAAAATTCTAACGTTTCAATTTCAGTACCATCTGGTGTACAAGTTTCATCTGTGTTTTCTTTTTTTTCTAACATAATATTTTTCATAATATATAAATGTTTTGGGGATAAAGTTGATTCTGATGTTTCAATTTCTTGTTTTTTGGTTTGTTGCATTGATACATTTTTAGTTGAATTTGATTTTGTAGAAGTATTTGAACTTATATTTTCTACAATTTCATTTATAGTTTTTTTCTCAACCAAATGTGGTATTTTTATTATTATATTTTCATTTTCCTTAATTTGTAATTTTACCGATTTATTTTCTCTCTTGTCATCGATATTCTCTATTTCATCAGTTTCTTCAGATATATTTGATTGAATGATCTCAATTGCAGATTGAATTGCTTTTAGGCTATGTTCTCCTACTGTTACAAGCTCTGAAGTATTCATTATCTGTGTTTCTAATGTTGGCTGAAGTTCTATGATTGGAGTTATAATTGCTGTGTTGTGTGATTTTTGAAAGTTTGGCAACTCTTGTATTTCCACAGTATTAGTTTCTATCATTGTAAAATTTTCATTTTCATTTATTGTTTGCATTTCGTGTTCGATATCTGTGTTTGTATTATCTCTCTCTATAGAATTAAAATCATTTATTAATGGCAATTTACATTCGGCTTTAACTGTTACTTCGTTTTTGGATGCTGTTAGTTTATCTGTATTTTTAATTATTGTAACATTTTCTGTTTCCGCCAAAATATCTTGAACTATTTTACCATTATTTATTTTCTTCAGCTTGACATATTGGGTTTCGTTGTCTTTTATCATTTGTTTAAACCCATTGTCTATTTTTTGGTCATTTGGGTTATTCATGGCTGTATTTACAAGTGTCCAAAGTTTTTTTTCACCCAATGTTTGTGCATACATATCACTTGGATTTATATTTGTTTTAATTATATTTTCAACATATTTAAGTAGATGGTTATTAGCCATTTTTTTTTCGTCTAATATTATTTCTGATATTTCATTTTTGTCAATATGATTTTGTAACTGTGACGTGAGTGTTTCAATACATTTAGTATTTATTTCTGTATTATTCTCAATGTTATGAATTTGATTTTCTTTTAAAATATTTGTTAGATGTTTATCGTTGGTTTCTACAATTGTAGTATTAACTGTGTTTGATAAATCCTTATTTAAATATAATTGTGTGATTTTTTCTACCATTTTATTTTTGAAACTGGTCAATACCGGTTCAATTGACTTTTCAATCATTAATTTTTGGTTTTCATTTGCGTTGGAAGCTGATGTAACATTTTTAAAGGATAAATTTTTTGTCTGTTCTTCATTATCTTCTGAACTATATTTCGAAGTCTCTAATGTAACCCCCATTGACGCTAATACTGTGTTATCTATAACAGAACTTTGAATATTTGTGTTTTTGTCCGGGATGATAACGTTATTGATTTTGAATTCGTCTCTCACTAGTTCTTCATTAATGTTTTTATCATTATTAATTGTTACTAAATCACTCGTGCTTAAAGATTTATCACTTTCTTTATTGATATTATTTAATTTGTTGTTGATATTTTCATGAAATTGATTTATTTTAATTAAGCCCATTTTATGTTCTGAGGATTTCTGTAAATGTCGTCCTTGGATTTCCATTTCATTATCTGGTTTATAAATGGTATCATTATTAAATTGATTCGAATGTAATACATTTTCTTCATTAGTTGTTGAACATTTTATTTCCAATATCTTATTTGTAGACCACTCATTTTTTTGGTCTACTGTTTTGTTTTTATCAATAGTATTTTCGGTGAATGGAACAACAGCACAATGATCGATTATTTTATCTTTTATCGTTTTGCTTACTTTACTATTGGGTTTATTTGTTTTGATTGTTAATTCTTTTGATGAGTTATTAATGTCACCGCATAGTTCATCAGAATTATTATTTATTGGTTCAATTTCATTCAGATATTGACATTTCATGTCTTTATCGGTTGTACCCATGCGTTTTATTTTTGTTGGACTATTAGTCAGTGAATCTTTACTATTTTGTTCATTTGCAGCACTAATGGGATGTTCAAACATATTATCTATATTAATATTAATGCTAATTGGCTGTGCTAGAAGCGCTTCAAAGCTTGAACTTATTTCCTTTGAATTGTCATGTGTTATGTTTATATCTCTAGGAAACTCGGATATAATTTTTAACACTTGTATAGAACATTTTTCACAAACACTATTTGTTATTTTTGTAATAACACTGGCGAAAGGGGTGTTAATATTGTATTGTGCCGAATCGGTTATTTGTTGAATCACTGTATCATTTTTATTTGATTCTAGCTCGTTAAAATTTTCCATTACAACTACAGTTTTCCTGTCATCATCATCAAAACAAGATAGTTCATTTTGTATACATGGTTCGTTATCTATGCATTTGATATCATATTCATCTATTCTAGTTGTAGGGTTCAACAGTGCTTCGCTGTGGGTATTTTCGTCTATAAAATCAGCTGTTTTAAACGTTTGAAGGCGTTTTTCTACGTCATTTGAATTCCAATCATTTAAACTTTCCTCCAATACACTGTTTGTAGGTTTTAAGTGGGTCGATGATACATCCTTTACCCAAGGTATATCTTTTGTAATTCTAATATTTTTGTTAAAATTTGTCATGGGTTTCCTTTCGAAATCTACAGCATTTATATCACTTTCTTTACTATTTATATAAGTTATATCTACGTCATTGCAAAAATTGTTGTCAGTAGATTTAGATTTTGATTGAGCATTATGTGAATTTAAATCACTGACATTATTATAATAGACGTTGTCGGTTTTAATTTTTGGTTTAATATTCAAATACGTTGAAATGTCATCGATCAAATTAGTTTCCGAACATTTTTCGGGTATGCTAGGTGCATGTTTATGAACCTTTTTTTGAACACTCATACTGTTGGATTCAAATTTTGTAACTATAGACATAACGTCTGTTCGTATAGAGTTTTCTTCAGATACTGGAAGAATATTTCTACAAATAGATGGTTTATTGAGTTCAATGGCAGGTGTACTATTGTCACATGTTTCAAGAGACGAATGTTTAGCTTTAGCAAACTTAGTTACCGGTTTATATTTCTTTGTACCTAGCCGAATTTGAGATCTAGAATTGGTCGGGCTTTTTTCTACCGATATGTAGTATGGAGAGCGGCAAATGGATAAACTGTTTCGTACCAGAGTTAATGTATACACTCCTTCTGCGAATGGTGTGTAAGTAACTTTTATTCGATCTTTATCATAAAAATAATCGATGGGAATTGCTTTCGTTTTAACAATTTCTGCAGGGTTTTGGTTTAATATTGTGATTTCACCAACTTCACCGTTCCGTCCATTGAGTTTAATAACGATGTTTTCAAAATCATTATCATATTTTGAGTACAAGTAAAATTCTGACTGACGTCCAACAGTTGCAGTTATCAAACCTAGGCCACGTGCAACATAAGAGTCATCTACTAAATTCTCCATAAATTTATCAATTTTCTTTTTTTCTTTGCAAATTTCATTAGAAGTCAATAATTGAGCACTTTTAATGAAATTATACACTTTTGGTTCATCCTCTGCAATTATCTAAAAAAAAAAAAATTGTTATATATTAAGTTAAATATCAACTATTAAGTTGTATTGTTTTAATAAAAGATACTTCAATATTATTTATTTATTACACATATTTACTATTTACGTACAGTCATATAGATACTGTAGGTAGTTACCTAATAATTATGTCGGATGAAATATTTAGTTTTACTTAAATTTAGATCTTATTAAACACGTACAGTTTACTTATATATAACAGTATCCAACAAAAAATGTGTATACAATCTGTATACCGTACATGAATGATTAAAATAGAGAAATTAAATAATCCGGTTTCCAGATCTTACCAGAGGAATGTCAAAGTGTTTTTGTATTAATCGTTGCACAGTAATAACATTTTCCTGCGCATTTTTATTATTCGGATTCGACTCGGATGATATTGTCGTATCTGCTGTCACAACAGTAGTAATTTTTTCTCCATCTATATAAAAATAAAAAATAACCAAAAAAAGGTTTACTTATTGTGTATCGAAATACTACCTATAAAACTATAGAATCTTGTACTTTTTAAACATTTCCGAATAACCGAATTCCTCTTTTATTGGTTTGAGTATTTCTTTTACTAACGGACGTGATTCAACAATGAAATTTAGTCTCACATCGAATAAACGCTGTACCATATTATTTGACCAATTGTTATATTATGTAATTAGAGGTTTGGGTTTATCTTCACAGACTTTGTACATATTATTTTCTACTTATCATGTCTAATACAATGTGTAAATAATATTTTCAGTTCCAGCAGACCGAGATTACATAAAAGTCTTATGTATAAATTATGAAAAAATAAGTTGAATTTGTTGTATTTATATTTTATATTTTAATATTCCGTATATTATATGATTTTTAACATAAACTAAAGATTATTGTGTTAGTCGAAAATAACAATGGTTAATGAATGTTTCATGTTAAAAAAAGTAAATTATTACCTACCCAATAGGTATAATCATATATATATCTATATATATTATAGCGTGTTAATAAATATTTTGTATAGCTTACGGAATACGCTTGAATAAATGGTTTAAAAGTATATATTGTATTTTGTATAGTCGTTACTAAATATTAATTAATCCAACATCAAATTAATAGATTTATGTTCATTAAGTTAAATAGATTTTATTATTTGGGCGAAAAACCATTCACCGTCAATTTTTTTTTTCTTCAAAATATGGGAATCACAAATGTAATGGAATATAGTTAATAGGCTAATAGGTAAAACATCATGTAAATAAAATGAACTTAGAATAATACTTAATACTCATATCATGTGAAACTATGATGTAATATTATGGGTGCTAAAATAAAAGTATTTGATAAAAATTACACAAAAAACATACTTTCAATATTATTTTAAGTTTTAAGTCTTTTAATAATTTAAATAATTGGTTATTATAAATTAAGTAATTATAACTTATAATATTTAGTCATATGGATGATAAGATATAATTGTATGTATTTTAAAATACGTCAATTACTTATTCAAGTATTATAATTCAGCCGATATTATTATAAATGAATGAATTCTAAAAGAGTAATTATTATTCGATGATTTTTATAAGCGTACTTGGACATCATCTGAAGATTAGCTGTAGAATATATATAGTATAAGTATTAATTATTCTCGTTGAAACTTAAAATGTTGATCCCTAACGGTTGTAAGACAGGCCTGGTTATAATAATTATAATTTTAAATTATTATACGTGGCAGTATGGTACACATTACTTATTTGTTGGAAACAATTCGAAAACAGGGTAGGCCTGCTAGGTCTACCCGCAGGGCTCACCACTAACTATAGTAGTCACTATTCAAATTCTTATGGCTTTATCAAATAATATATAAAAGAAATATTATAAATTATTACTTTTATTAAAATCAAACATTAATGGTTATGTACTTCAAACGTACATAATTCCTATAAATCTTTCCCCACATATTTGTGTAAGTCTAAAAAAATATTCTCAGCTTAGTATACACTCTGCACCATATTCTTAATGCTCCGTGTACGCTGTTATGGATTACTTATAAATTAAAATTAAATATTTAAATAAAATCACTCACGTTTCAAGTATTTTTTTATCCATGCAATAAAATAGTTGAGTGATTGGAATATAAATAAAATCACTGCAATTGCCCATGTTAAGATGTTGTGTAATGTTGTTTGTTTTATCATAATCTATTACATGTCAGCTAGAGCCTGGAAAAAGTGTAAAATCAATTAAAAATATAAATTTAACACATACCTATTATTTGTATTAAATGTACTGGGTACTAAGATAATAATAGAAACAATCTTGTCGGAAGCTCAAACTATTGTGCTCATACTTCGGTCCTCACGAGTTTTCCACCTTGTGGCAAGGCTCATATTATAACTTATTGTCTGTTCTATGGCTTAAAGTTTCAAAGACGCTTTCTACTTGAGAGTTGAGATTGAGTCTAGACTAAAAAATATCCTCTATTCATCATAATATGATTTTCTGTCCAATATTTCAGTATATCGTTGAATATCTCTATTTTTTCTGCAAACAATTTTAAGGATTTTTATATTATCCTACTTAAGTCAGAAAGTTCTTACAATGTCCAGTTAAGTGTACCTACTTTAACGCGTGGTTAGTCTAATATTTAACCGACAGTCAGTTCTAACTAAGCCCGATGAAGTGGTTAGTCTTCGTTAATTGTATGTTAACGGTCGAACAGAATGCTGTCGGCAAGAAACATATTAAACTAACCGCGAGTTAGCTTTAACCGACACTTAACCGTACATTGTAAGAAAAGCCCTTATCGATCGTTGATGATTTTGTAAAACACTTCACGAAAACGTGCAAGTGACTGCAACTTAGATCATATACTATGGATGTACCCATCAAACTACTTTTTCTTGCCATTATGAATACATAATTTATGAATGAACCTATAGAATTGGCTATTATTAACCCTGATTATTTGTGCTTACGCGCGTAATTCAGATTGGTTGTTCTGATTGAGTTATCACTTATCAGTCTCACTCATAGTGAACAGTACAGCGGCATCACTTGCCTAGCTTTTTAAAAAATTATATTCATCTAAAATCCCAAGTCTGGTTATGTGTATTTTACTAATATTATATTAATGGTATTATCTTTAAAATAACATACTGAAATTGTAATTACTTCAATTACAGCTATTATTTAACAATTTTAATACTACTCTCATACTAATATTTTAATCAATTCTCATTATGCCCAAATTTGTTTTCAATCAAATTGTATAGGTATATATTTATGGATAATAATAAATGATTATTAAATAATAATTAATGATAAGCTTTAATAAAATTATTGATTCATTACGTCAACATTAATTTATTATCTTTTTAATTTCAATGAAAATATAAAATCATTGAAAATTGTTTGACTCGGACCCAATGTTTGGTATTTCTATTTTCAGTGTATTAAATTATCGATTCATTTGTATTCACTTTTATTTTTATAAAGTATAAATATATAGCTAATAATCAAACATCATCGTTTCGAATAAAAAAATAAGGAAAAAAAATAAAATTGTAAAGTTTTCAGTACTTATAATAGTTTTCTCAGTGTATAATAAAAATGATTGTAAACGTAAGAGATACGAAGATTTTTGATTTTCAACATGACAAGGTTTGTCATTTTTTCCATCTTTCAATTACTTAAGTATGCAAAGGAAATCTCGACAAAAATCTGGAAATGATTTTACGAATTAAAAATAAATAATATGTAACTAACCATAATACAATTAAAGGGTTCATTTTCAATTCTGCGAATCACTTTATTAATTAAATTCTGGTCGTGCGAAGGGTTTCCTGAGAATATTCGGTTAGTGCGTTCCTGCAGTAACATCTCACCGCTTGTTCATTTTACTGGTTTTAGATAGGTACAATATCATACAAATATTCTTGAACAAAATGTAAATACATCATACTTTTGTCGTTCCATACATCCTCATGCCTGATGTATTCACTATTAATTTTATTAGAAAGCGTGTGGATACACAGCTGAGGGAAGATTTTGAATAGGTTACCATTTCCCCAAATAAACGGAAAGCATTTGGAAAAATTCATCATGAGGGTTAATCAAAATGAGCTTTATTTTCATAGTGCGGAATTTACAAATAAAACGTAAATCAGGGCGATTCCGTAACACCGGCGAGGGGATGAGATTTGGAAATGGGAAAATAATGGGAATTTTATGGTACCATTTGGAAAAACGTCACAACGTTAATGTGTTTTCTGTATGTTTAGTATAAAGCTTATTTGGTCGCCTATTCTTATATATACCAACCTTTATCGGGAAAAATCTTGTTTTTATATATGTTCTCCTCGTAAAACGACCGTTTACGATACGATCGATCTAGAACGAGCGACTTGCCACGATTGTCAATAAACAATTGATGCGTAAACAATTAATAAAGCAACAATTAATACACACACAAATTACTTTCTATAAAAACAGTATTTGTATTATCGCCAATACAAAGCCGTTCCACGGACCTGTTCCACGTAATAATTTTAAGATACCGAACTCGATAAGGCAAAGGGAGGATTAATTTAAATTATGGACATTTTATATGTTTGAATATTATTAACTAATAAACATAATAGTATTATAGAAAATTGTCATCAGTTAATACTATTTTTTTAATATTTCACAGTTACCGGCAGTTTTTCCTTATGGGGAGCAGTTTGTTCAGAAAATAAAGACACCGACCTATTTAAGTATCTAGGTAAAAACTACCATTATTTAAAATCAATAAAAGTAGGAGGGCTATAGATTCGTTTAAAACTTTTTGCTAAAAAATAGAGTTCACTAAAGAATATAAAAATTAATATTACTAATATAAAATATTGCATGACCAAAATAATAAAGGTAGAATGATTTTCAAAAAAAGCGATGATGATGAGTTTAGTTAAATAATTTTTACAAACAATAGTCATTGTATAACTAATCTGATAATAACACGTGGTTCTAAACTAGTTAAAAAACTTCGTGTTTGGAATTATAACTTACTGTTTCAAGACTTATATTTTATCATTATTAGAATTATTTATTTAGTATGGTGTATAACGACGACATAATAAGATTGATATAACATTTCAATAATACCCTGTGACCTCCCCCCCCCCCACACACACAGGTTTAACGTTAAATATTAATAATTATTATTCAATGTCAATGCGATGATCCCATTAGAAAATATTTGGCGTGTCCAAAGTTTCCGGTCAAGCACTTATAACACCGTGTATCGAATGTATTTTGTGATTACAAGTTACGACGCGAACACATAAACGTCCATGGTACGATGTCGGTACAAAAGAATCGGTATTTTTCTTTTACTCTTTAAAGTTTATTATATTGTTATATTAAATGTGAAATTTACGGCATACGCGGTTAACAGTTATTACATTTATGTACAACCCCGCTCACCACAGGTTCTGTAGTTGTACGCGTATTATTGTTTTCTTCGTATAATTTATAGTTTTATACGTGCATAGTGCATACACATTGTTCGGAACTATCGCAGTGTTGTTTGTATAGGTACCTACGAGCAAATATTTTACAAGCGTATCAACGTTGAAAACGAAGTACTAACTCACACACACACACACACACACACACACACACACACACACACACACACACACACACACTAAAACCATATAATGTAGGTGTGAGTGTATGTGTAAGCGTGCGTGCGTGCGCGCGCACCCATTTATATGTTTGGTAAATTTATCGATTGCATTTGCTCGAAAATACTTATGTATAGGTAAATATCGCATTATTGTAAATATTATTATGTAGGTCGGTATCGTTTCACGATTATTGAACTCGGTTTAATCTCAATACACATTGTATGATTGAGTATGTGAAGTGCAACACCAATTCATAATAGTGAGTTTTTATTTTGTATTTCAATAGCGGATATTATGATAATAACATCTTCGAGGTACATTATAACATGTTGGTATAAAAATATCTTAACGCCTAGGGTTAGATTAAGTGTTCGATCGTTTGCTGTTAACCTGTGATCTACATAACTTGGAATAAATATTATAGAACTATATAGAAGTATAAAAACATATATTTTTATTTGTTATGTACATGCTGTTTTATATTCTGGATGAATGTAAGAGAATATTGATGTACTGGTTTTATTTTATATTTTCTTCACATATCATTAAGTTTTTGAGCAGAACATTTCTTTCAATTATTTATAGTAATGATTGGGAAACACTAACAAAAAAATAGTTAAATTTATGCACAATCAGTTTTTGATAAACTTTATTTTGTTTTTCTTATGTCATCCATAAGGAGGTATGAATTGTTCAGCAAATGTTTATATTTGCGTATGGTCGATATGAAACAATTTTTAAAATAGTTTCCCTCTTATCCGTGCTATTTATAGATATTTGAAATTTGTTTATATTTTTTAGTTTTTTTTTTATGATTATGTTGGTACAAAATGTCTATCTGTAGGTCAAAAAGTTTAAGCATTTTGTATTAGGTTTCTCAAAAGTTTTTCTTACATCATTTTACATCTATAAAATATTTTTTTATAATCGTTAAAAGATACGATTTTCAAAATTGAATGCGAAAGCGGAATGAAATGTGTAACAATTATTTATAAATAATATTTAAATCAGCTACAACATACATACAATAAAGTTGTTTGTTTTTTTTTGTATAAACTAGTTTATTGAAAATCGTAATTAATAATAATACTAAAAACTATAATTTGTAGAATGTACGAACCACAAGTGTGAAAGAGACTCGTGACTGGGTTATATTACATGATATTCATATTAACGATGTATAATATACTAGGTATTTAATACGTTATGCTTCAATGTCTTGAGACGAAACTTCAGTTTAAATTAATAACCTTATTTGTATTATACAACGTTTTTAGTTTAAATCTTTACCTTTGATATAAATAATATTTTAAACTTTGTACGTATAGTCTTAAATTATTTTATTGTTTGGAGATTTGTGTTTTCGTACTGTTTTAATCAGCAGACGAATAACACAATAAGACACTAATTATTACATAGGCTTTTCGAGTGCTACGTGGCAATCTTAACGAACTCAGAAAATAATAATTCAGGCACCATCTGCCACTCAAATAATTATAATAATTTATTATTTTAAATTGTAATGCAATTAAAGCCGTATTGTTTGTACA